TTACTGTTTACTCGCTCCCAAAGGACATATCTAGAGTGTCATGAATGCGCTGCTTCGTGTCTGTGATATGACTTTGCTTGCCGTATTTTAAGCCTATCTGTAAGAGTCGGCAATGCAAGTATATTTCGTACACACACACTACCAGGGAATCGGGCGATATTGCATGGTTCTGATGTCCATGTCATCATCATGTAGCAGGTCCTTTGCAGAACGTCGCTCTCATCACAGTCTGCCTGTAAGAAACTCGGTCTCTTGCCAGTTCTCCCGCCTTATGAACTTTCACACTCAAGGAGTCACTTATATCCTGTGCCCATCTTCGTGTCGGTCGGCCTCTGCCCCTCCTTCCTGGTACCATGCCTTCTGCTATAATTTTTTCCGTCGTGGCGCTTGATATGACCAAAATATTTCAGCTTTCGAGAAAGGATGTTGTTTATTAGCCAATCTTCCTTGATGTTCAGATCTTTTAAGATGTCAATATTTCTCATCTTCTTTGTCCAAGATATTTTGAGAATCTTTCTATAGCATTTCAGTTCAAAAGCCCCTATTCTCCTTCTTAAGGACTGAGAGATAGTCCACGACTCACATGTCCACATTACCTATCATCATACGGTTGCGTGTAGGGCTGCGTAGGGTGTCTATCACCATCATACGTTTGCGTGTAGGGTTGCGTAGGGTTTGGGTTGGGGTTAGGGATAGGGTTAGGGGTAGGGTTAGAGGTTAGGGTTAGGGTTAGATGTGATAATGGTGACGTAGAACTTCCAAATACTGGGCGACAATCTGATGCTTGTGGGAGTGGCGCCACTGGAAGTGTCACGTGAATGGAGGACGACTATCCCGTTTACCAGACGGGAACAGATCCCTTTCTCTGTGATGGCAGATATTAAAATATATCTGACTCGTTATATTATGAGAAGAAAGAAACTGGATCATGTGACGACTGGAAATGATTTTGGAAAGAAATTAAATATAAAGACAACGCGAGTAGATCTAGGCAGCCTTTTGTCATGACATAGAAGTGTGTCAACACACGAACTGATACATGCTGAGATCGCAGTTTGTGTTGAGAAATGATCACAATGCCGGCAGACAAGGTACTTTAAGGATGATTCAAACTAGGAGATATCTGTAGGGTATGTCAATGATGACCTGACACCGTTACGTTAACACAATCGGGCCACCAGCAATGGCAGACCGACTGTCTTGACGAAGTCCACTGGATGCTTTCGGTACAATTTGTCTTATATGATATATAAGATATACAATTTTAAACTTTCAGTAAAACATATTTGAAATTTTATTGTGACGCTTAGTATTTTATACTTCATTTTAGCTTGTGATATTTTTTTAGGAAAGGATTCTAAGGTCTCCAAGCATATGATTAATATGAACAAAGAGTAGGTAACCCTGCAGTGAAAATGAAAACGAAAACCTATCATTTTGTTTGTTTCTTCTGCTTACTTGACTGACAGCTGGAAAACCAATCTGACTACCACTATTCAGAACTAATCTGAAATTATTGTCTGATTTGCTGAGTATACTTGTTTGAATTGTATTAAAAAGAGTTTAAAACAATTATTGGCTCTCCTTTGAATCAACCCCCAAAATGGCGGCTTTAATATGATGGCGTTTGAAAGAGAGCTAAATTGGCCAATTTCTTGCCAATTAATAAAAATATCCAAATGCGGGTCAGTTCTATTAAAAATAGGCTCTCCTTGCACCCTCGGACGCAAGCTGGATGGCTTAGTTTGGCTTATTGGGAGTTCTCTCCCTTAGCCGCATTGAAAACAACGATCGGGAAAGTCACGAATCAAACAAGACAGTGACGTCGACATCAGGGCTGCCAATGCTTGGTTGTGTCTCCCAGATCTGGGTTTGTCTTTTGACGCTGCGGGGAAATCTGGGTTGTTTTTTTTTTTTGGGGGGGGGGGGGGGGTGTTTTGCCGATCTGTATGCTTTAATGACCGATAAATTTGCGTGGTTAGGGATAGGGTTAGGGTTAGCATTAGGGTGAGGGTTAGGGGTAGGGTTAAGGTTACGGGTAGGGTTAGGGGTAAGGTTAGGTGTAGCGTTAGATGTGACAATTTTGACGCCGTAGTTCCCTATAATCGTGCACAGTCATATACACACGCAAACAGTCAACGGACAGTGGATGCTACTGACACGGACAATTCGCCATTGATTGGGCACCAGCCGCGCGCTATTGCCGTCATTTTTAACACACTTCCAGTGGCGCCACTCCCACAAGCATCAGATTGTCGCCCAGTATTTGGAAGTTCTACGTCACCATTATCACATCTAACCCTAACCCTAACCTCTAACCCTACCCCTAACCCTATCCCTAACCCCAACCCAAACCCTACGCAACCCTACACGCAAACGTATGATGGTGATAGACACCCTACGCAGCCCTACACGCAACCGTATGATGATAGGTAACCCTAGACGCAACCGTATGATGACTACGCAACCCTACACGCATCTGTACGCAACCCTACACGCACCCGGATGATGATAGGTAAGTATGTCATTTGATTCGTGACTTTCCCGCTCATTGTTTTCAATGCGGCCAAGGGAGAGAACTCCCACTAAACCGACCTAAGCCGTCCAGCTTGCGTCCAAAGGTGCAAGGAGAGCCTAAAAATATATGTGCCGGCTCTAGATAACGAAACAAATGCTCTGACAAGGTCTCAGCGATACGTTACTTGCCGACCTGCTTCTGCAAGTGTGCCTCACCGCCGAGAGTATCCCCTAGATGGCTGGGACTCACGAGCGGCAGCTACCGCATCTCCTGCAACTTCCTCCCATTACTGTACTCGTGCGTCCCAGGCACCTAGTTTAGCCCCCATCCGCACCGCGCGTAGCTGCGCAGGGGATATGCTCGGCGATGAGTTTAATCGCGTTTCGCGCATGCCAACAAGTCTGACATCTACCGCTGCTAAATCCTCCAATCGGAAAAACACAGTATTGCTAATCGGCTTTCATCGTCTGTAATGTCTCGAAATTGGTCAACGGTTGCTAAAATCATCTGCTAGTATCGTCTGCAGAAACGCTCGAAATTGTTGTCAACGGTCGGTATTTATTGTCTGCTACTACCGTGTGCAAATGTTGATATTGATTGTCATGTAATCCTAGTTTTGCCGCAATTTGTTCCTTGGCAGAAAGTCCGTATTTTAGATACACGCGAACACCGTCGTTCGGATATTATTGGATATTTTATGGCCAGAATGTGGCATGCCGCCATTTTGGGGGTTGATTCAAAGGAGAGCCCAATTATTTTATATATTTTATTTAAACTTGTTTTTTAAATATGCAGAAACCACGAGTTGTCAGTTGCTAACCCTTTGGCCCTAGCTCGATACTATGGATCTCGCAACCCTTCGGCCTTGATTTTATGATAGATACCGTAAATCTGGAAGAAATGTGACTTTTCTGCCTACGCCCCCCTCCCCCTTTCCCGCGTGAACCCGGACTACAAGTAGTTCGTCACCCGGTCCACAATGTCGGGTTTAACTAGCTACGCTAGCGAGCCGGGCTTTATACTTTGAATATGTAGTTTTTGTTGTTCACTAACTCCATCCATCATTTGAGAACGAACCACTCTTTCTTTCATTCATCATAAAATCATAGATGAGTTCTGTGAGTCTAGAGGTGATTTATAAGCTCAATACGGGCCCAGGAGGAGTCAGGACAATGAGGGCAGAGAATAGTGTCAGTAGGTATGGGACCTGTACGTTTCTTTCTAGTCTGCCTGCACTGCTCAGCTGCTTTTTCTCTGGAGGCCTCGCAGCTAGCTGTCTGTCTTTGAATTACGTTCGCCATATTATAATCTGGCTCTGTGCAGCAACCACACAAGTGTAAGCGTCCACACTTAAGGCTTCATGTGATGCTCCCACTGTGTCCATGAAGCGCCTTCTCTTGCCACCATGAGAGCGTCCACCCTCCTACACCTCACAGTACAAGATTATCTCAATATAAGTTGGAATGGACCGCTGAATAAAGAAATCGAATGGTGCCTCAAAGAAGTCTCTACATCAGTGATGTTTGACAATAATAATTATTTATTGAATCATTTCAATGTAATTATCTTAAAGAAAATAATTATCTTACTCTCTTTAGCTTAGCTTTCTCAGATGTTGAGGGAGATGCAAAAGGATCTGCTATTTGCTCTTTTTAATGCATTATATAAGTAAGTCTTAAATAGTTTTTTGAATTCATCATAGAAATAAGAAGTTTACCTTTTTCTGTGGTTGTATATTTGCAGGAAGGTTGCTGTCAAGACCCTAGGGATAGATGAAGTGATACAAGATAGGCAACAGAAGGACAGTTAATAAGTTGAAGTTGTAATTAGCAACATCTTTTTGCCATAAATATTCAAGAAAGTGATTCAATTCATGGACAGATAAAGTGGCAGAAGATGAAGCAACAGAAGAATTAACAGGAGGTTAATTGTGACATTTGTCATGTTATATTTTATTGAAAAAGTGATATGTCACATTTCGATGGACAAATGAAAGGACAAGAGAATAAACAAGAAGTTAATTTTGTGACAGTATTTCTTTTTTTAAATTTACTATACTGAGAAAGAAAGTGTAACAATTCAGGGACATGAATTGACCGAAAATAACAAGAACCCGGAGGAGAGTTCACATTACCACTTGTGACATTTTCATGTAACAGATCCCTAAGAGACTGGCTGACTCTCCCATTATGCTAGAGTGTGTTCTAGCAGGAACATCATTTGCCTTATTAACATTTGTATGTTATATTTTATTGAGAAAGTGATCGCTACAGTTCTCTAATCAGATGAAGTGACAAGATAATTGTGAGAGGAAGAGAGTTAACATCGTCACTTTGTGATATTTTCATGTAACAATTCGCAAAGAGATTTAATGATGCTCACGTCACATAACAGGAACACCACTTGTAGGTGCTTCATGAGTTTGTTCTGAAGTTGTGTTGTCATCTGCCATCTTTATATACTTTGGAGGAAAACTAGAACAATGAGAGAATATAAAGTTGTGGTCTTGGGCAGCGGGGGTGTTGGCAAAAGTGCTCTCACCGTCAAATTTGTTTCCGGAACTTTCATGGAAAAATATGACCCAACAATTGAAGATTTTTACCGCAAAGAAATTCAGGTTGACTCAGCTCCATCGGTTCTAGAAATCCTGGACACCGCAGGAACAGAACAGTTTGCCTCCATGCGAGATTTGTACATCAAGAATAGCCAAGGATTCGTGATAGTCTATAGTATCACTAGTATTCAGACATACCAGGATATCAAAACCATGAAAGATCAGATTCAGCGGGTCAAAGGTGTTGATCGGATACCCATGATTCTTGTGGGTAATAAGTCGGATTTAGAAAACCAGCGAGAAGTCTCACCATCAGAAGGTGCCTCCTTAGCTCAATATTGGGGGTGTCCTTTCTTGGAGACTTCAGCTAAAAGCACCAATAACGTTAATGAAGTTTTTATTGAAATAGTCCGAGAAATGAACTCTAGTCCCATACGGAAAAGCCAGGGATGCTGTGCCGTTCTTTAAGTTGCCCAGGTTTATTTGTTACTTGCTCACTATTTTAAAGGTAAGAAGGTTTTTGCATGCTCATCCTCATTTGTTTAATTTCACCATATTTTCTAACAATTTTGTTTTTATAATTTTAATTGACAACTTTTTACAATAATTTAGGAAGTCAGTCAGGTTCAAACTCCAGATGAAGTTTGGCTACAATGGATCTCCAACATGTTTTGTCTATAACCTTGGATGTACACTCTTAGACTGCTGTTCATCTGTCTCTTGATGTTATCCTTACTCCTTACTCGCTTGCTTTCAACTTTTTCCGCCAGTGTGGTTTTTATGTATTTTAATATCTTCCAGGAAAACTCACATTTAATTTCTACACCCATTTCAATTTAAACAAACATGAGTCTTCCCAAACAAAGTAGATCCCGTTCCATTGATAAATTTGTTCAACTGGTGTACCTTGCTGGAGGTTATGGGTGTGCCGCTCTGTTGTTCGCTTTCTGGGATGTCTTGTGTTTACGTTTTTATTCCGTGAATGAGACTTGAGAATGCCTGTGACATAGGTTTCGTCACTCTCTAAAGGGGTTTTGTGTTAGACCCAGTTTGTCAATATTTTTGGAGTGTTAAAAGCGCTGGCATGCTGAAATATAGAACACGCAATAGCAACGGCATTGCGTAACAACCCTGTAATCTTCTGCCAATGTTACATGGCTCAAGGTCGACCAATCACAAGTGAGCTAACCTGAAGATCGACCAATCAGAAGTGAGGTAGTGTGTAAATGGGGGAGGGGGACAAACTTCAGTTTTACCCCATTTCAATACATAAGTCTCTAATTCTGGACATTTTCCATGTTGTGCAAGTTTTCCGTTATTCATTTTGCACAAAACATCTCGCTGAGACCACACAAATCTTGTGGTTTTTCCTGATGGTGGAGGTCTGAAATGCCATTCTGCTGACCTGTTGCTGTGTTCTTCTGCATATTTTGTCTCTTGGAGTTTTAAACTCGCAAAATAGGAATGCCACTATCTGTATTTTTCCGTATCGCGGGCATCTGTGATAAATAACTGTACATGTAGGCCTACTTCTTTATATAAAATGCAGCCTATTTTGGGAACCCAAAAAAGTGCCCTATGAACCGACAAACACAGTAATTAGAGTTGTCAGCAGCTGAAAGTGTCTCAGAAATGGCCATGGCCTTAACCACCCTAGGTTGTTGTCTTCATGTGCCATGTTGATAGACTCAGAGAGTCGTAGTTTGTCGCCCTAAACGATCACCTGAGTCTCCAATCTGGCTAATGTTCTTGGGCCTATCAGGCCATGTGGCCAGGCTATTTAGGAATTCATTTTGTTTAACTTCTTATTATTTTCCCATCGAGTTTACTGGTTGTCACAAGTTTTTATCTTTGTTTCAAGACTGAGATTTGTAGTAATATAGCGGCGTCCGTGGCTAAGGCGTTGCGAGTCCGACTCGTAATCCAACGTACCGCGATCGAAACCCACTGTGGGCTGCGTGGATTTTTATCGTGGTATGGGAGGTCGCAGGTCGACCCAGCCTTAAATGGGTACCAGGATGGATGTCCTGGGAAAGTAAATACGGCCGGCGTAATGCTGACCACATTACCCACCGAGTGCTGATTGGTCTGTAAAAATATGGGACGCTCTGCCCATATGCCCGATGCGCCTCAGGCGTAATAAGGGATCTTTACTTTTTTTTACTTTACTCTCCTAAGCTGTTGGCGAAAAGGCTGCTCGCGTACCTTACCTTAAAGATGTAATTGTGGAGGTATTGGTGGAATAAACCTATTGCCCTTATAACAAGCATGTCATAAAAGGCAGCTAATTAAGGGTTTGGGGAAAACGGGTGTGCTGGGCTGAAACTAGCAGATATCTTAGCCTAGCTGTGAACCACAACAAAGCCTGCGAACCACATTTTTTAGAGGAAATAAATACAGCAGATTTAATAGATACAAAAATAATCAAAAGATACAGCTTCAAAGGGAACTGTGTTTTATTTTTTATTTTTTTTTCAGTTCAATAAAAGTATTCCGACTGCAGTAAGAGACATTGCATTTAAAATTTTTTTTTTTTTTAATCATGCTTGAAGGAAAATTCTTCTTAATGCTCACCGGCTGTAAACTCTAGGCAAAACTCCTGGTTGTTCTTCCACTCCTCTGTCTTGATCCAGACTTGAGTTTTGCATGTACATCCATTTTACAGATATGACTTAATTGAATGCAGACTGTTGGTTCCTTGGCTCTCAGGCAGATGCACTGCGACTTTGAAGGAAACAACTCCAATAAGCAACATTCGCACATCACACACACACACACACAGATACGTATGCATACACTTAAGGATATACAACATTCGCACATCACACACACACACACACAGATACGTAAGAAATACAGAACCAGAAACCATGGTTTTTTTTTTTTTTTTTTCAGTTTGCAGTGATATGCAGTAAAAGGCGTTTTTTTTTTAAACTTCATTGTAAAAAAAAAATAATCGTTACCGGCACATATTTTTCCCAGGAAAAAGCTTTGCCAGAAATACTCAATTATTTTTGACAACTGAAAGTAATTATCCATTTTATCTCCCGTGAAACATTCAGTGAGAAGTTGTCTCCCATGCTTATTTGTCACTGGTTGCTGTTTGATGTGTTTTCCGTCTGTTTCCACTATACATGCCATGCACCTGCAGATTTATTTTCTTCCAGTGTCTGTTTTATCTATTTTGTATGTGTACATTGGATGTTCTTATGTTTACAGTGCAATTCTTTTTTTCTCCTCCCCCTCATTTTTTCCTCTATCTCTGCTTCTTCTTATAATACTTCTTTCACCTCAACTTCTTTTTTCCCCATTCTTATTCTTTCTCTTCTTCTCCTCCAGCTCTGCTTCTTCGTCTTTGTCTTCTAATTCTTCTTCCATCATCAGAATTAATCTTGATTATACTGAAAGAAAACATCACTCAACCGTTGATGTCTCCATGTTTTCCTCAAATAAAGCTTATGCCCACCACACTAAATTGTTATATCCCACCAAATCTATATTGTTATGTCCCACCATGCTACATTGTTGTGTCCCAACACCCAGCATTGGAGTATCATGTATCTTTACATCATCATTCACATATCACCTTTCCTTGGCTTGTCCCATAACTTTACATCATCTTTCCTTGGCTTGTCCCATAACTTTGCATCATCTTTCCTTGGTTTGTCCGATAACTTTACATCATCTTTCCTTGGCTTGTCCCATAACTTTACATCATCATTATCATGATGATATCGCCTCATCCAAGTAGAGGTGTTTTCTGGTTATTGAGAGCTTAGAGGGAACCACTTGAGACCAATAGATAAGCCACCAACAAACATCATAACTTCATTGAATGGTGGATCTTCCAGTATTTATTATACAGAAAGAGAACTTTACATCATCATTCACACACTACCCTACCTTGTCTTGTCCTGTAACTTTACATTGTCATTCACACACCACCCTACCTTGTCATGTCCTGTAACTTTACATTGTCATTCACACACCACCCTACCTTGTCATGTCCTGTAACTTTACATTGTCATTCACACACCACCCTACCTTGTCATGTCCTGTAACTTTACATCGTCATTCACACACCACCCTACCTTGTCATGTCCTGTAACTTTACATTGTCATTCACCCACCACCCTACCTTGTCATGTCCTGTAACTTTACATCATCATTCACACACCACCCTACCTTGTCATGTCCTGTAACTTTACATCGTCATTCACACACCACCCTACCTTGTCATGTCCTGTAACTTTACATCATCATTCACACACCACCCTACCTTGTCATGTCCTGAAACTTTACATTGTCATTCACACACCACCCTACCTTGTCTTGTCCTGTAACTTTACATTGTCATTCACACACCACCCTACCTTGTCATGTCCTGTAACTTTACATTGTCATTCACACACCACCCTACCTTCTCTTGTCCTGTAACTTTACATTGTCATTCACACACCACCCTACCTTGTCTTGTCCTGTAACTCTACATCGTCATTCACACACCACCCTACCTTGTCTTGTCCTGTAACTTTACATCACCACTCACACACCACCCTACCTTGTCATGACCTGAAACTTTACATCACCACTCACACACCACCCTACCTTGTCTTGTCCTGTAACTTTACATCATCACTCACAAATCACCTTGCTTATCTTGCCCTGTAACTTTACATCATCACTCACAGACCACACTATCTTATCTTGCTCATTTATATACCTTTCTCACCTTTCGGGGCAAGCGAAGTGCATGTACATTCACAGTAAACTTAAGGGGGGAAACCATCAAGGAGAAGAAAGGCTTCTTTGCTGTTACAACTAGTAGCCTTACAATGGAAATTATAGCTGTAACAAGGGCATTAGCATTTTTTGGTACTCAAGAGTTCACACACGTGTGCATACTTAGTGACTCGATGAGTATGCTTAAAAATCCTAGCTGGTTTTATCAGGCAAGAATGGATTGCAACGCTAAGTGCTTTGCAAATCGCTGCCCTGACCTCATCTTTGTGCCATGTCATGAGTGTGTTCAGGGTAATGAGCATGCAGATTATCTTGCTGACACTGCCATTGCTATGGCTGGTCCAGTACTGGACAGAAGTGATGTTATCAGTGCCATGTGCAAGCGCTTTCCGTAACGACGAGCACGCCGAAGGGCATGACTTTGTTTCCGTGTCTAGACTGATGGACATGGGAGATGCAGCCTGGAGCTGCAAGAAAGGAACATTTTGTTAAGGGGACAAGGCGTTTCATTAGCCAACACACAACAGGTATCATCAGTGGTTTTAAGACTTGTGGAGCTTTTGAGGAGGAGATCGGAGCACCAAAGGATCTGTCCAGAGTGCTGTGATGATAATCCTTACTAATCACCCTTTTATATTGTCATGTCCTGTAACTTTAAATCACAGTTCTCACATCACTATACATTCCTTTTTACCCTGTACTATCTCCTCCTTCATTGTTTCAGA